TGCCGAGCCGCTGGGGTCCGTGGCGGGGGAGCAGGATGCAGAACGGCAAGTGATATCATGTTGGCCTCGGCGTCCAGCAAAACTTGGAGAGCTGGCAGCATCCTGGAACAGCATCACACCGGTTTCGAAAAACTTATTAGGCCATCGCTACTAATGAGCCACTGATTTGTCAGGGCGGATGATTAAGGAGCGGACATGCGTATCCTCCACCCCGCCGTGGGGCTCTGGCGCAGGGATGGGCAGAGGTCAGTTTGAGTCAACTCGGTGAGGTCCTCCCCAAATCCTTCCAACCAAGCCCCGGCAGCTACAGTCCCTTGCTGTGCACTTCGTTACACCTCCAGAAGAGGCTGCTCAGCCCAGCTTGGGAAACCGAATTAACTCTATCAGGTAATAAACACAGCGTCCTCCTGGCAAGAGCCTCAACTTGTCAGCCAGAAATGAGAAACACCCACACGCGGGCTGAGCAACCGGTGTTACAGCTCAAAAATCAGAGCGGAGAACCAAGCGCCTCGCAGAGCCAGCGTGTCAGCACACGCAGCGCCGGATACCCCGGACGCCGCGAATCCGAAATCTCAAGCCGCGGCACAAAAGAGCTCACTCAGACGCTGCTACGACCCCCCCCCCCGCCTGTATCCGACCCGGCACTCGCAACAACACCCGCTCGTGACGTCCTCCATCCCACCCATGGCAAGAGCTTGGGAAAACACGCGCCTTCCTCCGCCTGTACAGTCTGCCCTTTCACAGGGCAGGCGGGCGCAAAGCGCACAAACAGCCCGGCCCCCGCCGGCGAAGCCTTCCTGCCAACACTGCAGCGCCTTCCTGCCCACACAGGCGAAAATCCCACGGGGGGCAAACGCATAGCTCGCGCCCTAAGCAAGCTCTCCCAAAGCCAGCAAGGGCAAAACAGAGAGGAGGGGCAATCCGGCTATATCAGGTTACACCGTTCAATATGTTACCACTCATCCATAGCACGACCGTCTCCAACCACGGGCGCGTTCCTACCTCACCCCCCCCAACCCCGGTCGCAAAACAAAACACGTGTTTCTCAGGGACGTTTTCACACAAGTCGGGGTTTATACGACTCAGAACTTGTGGGAAATCTTTACGCGGCAGCTCGGCTCCGATAGGCTGCAAAGTCAGCAGCGCCGATTGCTCACGGCTGCGTTTCAACATCGATTTTATTCCAGCCGCAAGCGGGAGAGACGTTGTGGTTTTGCAAAGGGCACGGACTAAAGCGACAGCACGGGCTCCCTCCTGCAAGGGGCCAGCCCGAGCGCTCGGCACGCGACAGCTGTTTCACCAAAGCACCTTACAGTCCACGGCGGAGGGTAAAATCGCACAGGCTCCACTCTTAACTCTACGAAGAAGACAGTTGTAGGCCACTCTAGTGAAAACCTAAGAGAAAGGACAGAGAGGCGCACGTTACTCCTCGCTGCATGACTAGGTCCGTAAGGACTCCACCCACTCGCTCCTCCGCTACTACTTTTCAGCCGCCAGCTCATGCGCTCAGTCCGTAGTTGTCAGATAAGGTGTCACCGCCTCACGAGGACGTCACAGCAATCGCAAGTGGAGTCATAGGCCGGATAAAATGAGCGGGTCCTGCGAGTGGTTGAGGCTGCGAACGCCACAGGGTTAAGGGTTCGTGACCCAGCGCGCTCAGAAATTGGTGACCGGAGCTGTCTGCCCCACTGAAATTCGGACACCTGGAAGCTACTCTAACTGCTCGTGGGCCCGATGTCCTCCCACTGCGGGTGGGCGCTCCTCCAGGTCACGAGGGCAAGGCCAAAGCACCTCCAACGGTCACGGGTCGGCTCCGTTGAGGCTACTGGTACCGATACCACCTTTCGGGTCGACCTCTCTCTCCTGCTGAGCAGCCCAAAGCGGCAGCGTAAAACAGCTTCAGTTCAAAGGACAGCGCTTCGACCCGGGGCCTGGCCTGACAGCCTCCTCTCACCGCCGCACGAACATCGCTCTCCTGAAAAAACAGGGACTTGAGGCGCCGGCCACGCGCAGATCTGCGTTCGTCGGCCTTGACCGGACGGTACTCAACGCAGTCCTACGGAATAGTTTAGCATCAGCAGGGTAAGGAGAAAAAGAGAGCGGTCAGGGCAGGTCAAGGTTTCCAGTCGGGATGAGGCTGTCACCAACATATCCGTGCCCGGCCACGTTCACCTCCTCTAGGATATCTAACGTTTCCTTCCTCCCTACACAGGCACAGCCGCTAACTGGCCCTCCCTCCCCCAAAAACACAGCTCTTGGACTTGTGGGATCTACAAATAATTTTATTGAAATTTAACAAAAGTAGACAGATGCACTCGGAGGCAGAGGAAGGACCATAAATAGTGTACGTTTCTCAAACCCAGGGTTCCTATCCACACGCTAGAGGAGCAAGCCTAGTGTTGGTGAGCACAGGTCAGCTACACATCCACACGGGAAAGCACAAAGTTGCACAGAAGTCGTTAAAAAAAAAAAAATGAAACTTTTTTTTTTTTTTGCTTGCTCCAACAATATAGTGGACATAGATACTATTTACAGTGACCTTCACATTTTAAAGATCCCTTCAGAAGCTCCCAAGGAACCTCCTCGTCCCTGCTCCTGCCTGGCAGGGCTGGAAAGAGGAGGAGGGGGCTGGGGAGAGGAGGTTGGGACGGGGCTGCACAGCTCGGACCCCGACGACGGGTGGACCAGCCTGGAAAGAAGTAGGGCAAGACAGGTCGTTGGTAGCCTGCGGAGGTTTGCTGCCTCTTCGGTGAAAAGAGGGTGGGAGAAGGCATGTTTTTAGGGAAGCAAGCTCAGCGCCCCTGGGGGAAGGGGTGGAGCGGGCACAACAGCATGCCAGGGAGAACCAAATCAGTCAGGGAGGAGAGGGAGCTGCTCCTAGCTCCTCGCTCAGCAGGCCTCCGTCTAGCCAAGACCCCTCTGCCGACGCAGGGTTCGGGCCCTGCCTCTGCATCCCTTTTTGGCCAGTAGTCAGCAGAGGGGCTCCAAGTCCAGGCGGACAGGCAATGCCACACCAGCCCCTTCCCTACTGTGCCTTCCCCCGTACAAAACGTGGGTGCGATGCCACAGAGCGCAAAGACGTGGGTGCGTGCTGCGCCCACGGGAAGCAGGGGGGCAAGAAGGGCATCAGCAGTCCGGTCACAGCTTTCTCTCCTCTTCGCGGGGAGAACGGACCACACGAGCTCTTGCGCTCCTCCAGAGCCTGAGACGCTGTTTTCAAGGAGATCTGTGAGCCCTGGTCTGAGCCAAACTCAAGAGCAGGTGGTGTGAATAAGAAACACTTCAGTGGGGGATTGTTTTAAGACAGACTTTTTCAGGCAAGTAGAAGAACAAAAGATGCCAAAAGAAGTGCCCAGCATCACAGTGTAGAAGAGCTCCCCGCTGGAGCCCTGCCCAGCGAGCCTGTTTCCCTGCCAGGCGGGAGCCAGCACATCCGCTTCACCCTTCGTGCATACTCGTGTCAATGGGAACAGCGGGTGGGGGGCACAGAGGGAAGGGGAGGACGGGAGGACAGCAACAGCCGTGCCGCTGTTGTCTCCCAGAACCTAGGAATGTGGCCCTGAGCCCAGGCAGCTCTTGGTGGGCGCAGGGATGGATACATCCAACGTAGACACTGATACGGCTGGCACCCCAGTGCCAGCAGCTTAAATTAAAAATCGAGGTAGCAAACGTCTGAAGTGCTTAGAAAGTAAATAAGTTCTGGAGCGAAAGAAGAGGAACGCCAAGCTGGCTGCTGCAGGAGCAAGCTCTGACCAGTTTAAAGCTTTGCCCAGCGCCCCACAGCTGACAGATCAGTCCTCCTGCTCGTGTGAAGCGAGCGGCCCGTTCTCAAGGTAAGCCAGAGCAGGGAGGCAGTGGCTCCTAGTGTTGGCGAGGGGTAGTACGGGTCAGGCCTTCCCCAGCCCTGCAGCAGCTGGCTTGGAGCCCTAGGACCAGGACCCAAGCGTGAGAGGCAACGGGGTTTTTCCAGTGCTGCCAAGGCAACCCCGACTTGCTTAAGCGGGAGGAAAGAGGAGGAGAGCGCAGAACCTTCCAAAACCGAGCAGAAAGCCTCCCTTTAAAGTGCATTGCATTTCTCCTCCTGCCCCCAGCCGAGATGCGGGGCAACGGAGGAACTCTAGTTCATATCGCCAGGGAGATTTCCAAGCCAGGGCAGGCCAACTGATCGATTGTTTTAGAGGGATGGGGAGGGAGGAGATGATTTCTTTCCTGCTTGGCTCTGTCAAGGCCAACCCCACTGGGAAGTACTGTCAACAACGGAGTGGAGCACGAGGACACTACGTGGAGCCAACTTCCCTAAGCACGTGAGATGCCTTGCCCAGCGGCCCAGCACTGCAGGCTCCAGTGAGCGAGGGACAGCACTCAGCAGGAGCCTAACGCAGACAGGCGCTAACAGGGGGAGGCAAGTCCTGCTCAGGGAATCCAGATGGCTAAGCCGCCTTCACGTGGGCCAGCAGGCTGTCAGGAGAGCTGGGAACCTCGCTGCTGCCAGCCGTGAACTGCAGAGATCTCCGTGTCTGCTCTGGAGAGGCGGCTGCAACGCAAGCAGCGGGCAAAAGGCGTTCCAGCAGGGACTACTGGCAGCAGCGACGCCAACCTCCGCAGAGCCAGCGGGCAGCGTAAACGGGGAGCGCGCACCGGGAAGAGACTGAGCTCTACGACAGCGATATCTGGTCTCGGTCCCCTTCCCGACAGAAGCACAGCACCCAACTGGATGTGCTTTGAAACCAGCTCCCCCTGAGCCTGCCCCGTTCATCCTCCATCGACAGACCCACCTGGGGGAGCCTTGCTTAATGCCCTTGTCAAATGACACACTGCAACACTGGCCATTTAACCACAGAGGCCAAGGGATCTCCGGGCCCCTAGGCAGCGCGTTAGCTGGCCCTGGCTCTCCCTGGGCTGCATACCTGAGAAGCAGGGGATTTTGTCTGGTGAGAAGTGCAGGCTCGCTCTCCCTTTAACAGCTCAAACACAGCAGATCATCCGCAGTTCCAGTTACCCATCCAAACGTTGGCTAGAGGCTACAAAAGGTATTTTAGTCTTCCGACTCAAGCGAGGATATTTTTAAGCAATTGTTGTACAAGGTCACCCATCTCCTGCGAAGGGCGCTAGCCAAACGCAACCAAGCCAAGTCTGTTTCGTACCGCTGCATCTCCGGGCAAGGGGAGAGTCAAAGTCCACGGTCACGTGTCCGTGCTCAAAGTCCTCGTTCTACAGGAAGGTGACGAAGCCTCGCGTGGTGACACTCAGGGCAGTCGGGCAGGACGTTTCGCCTGCAGGCAGCAACGGCTTGCGTCCCCCTCACGAATCACACCTCGCAGATGATCACAGGGAAATCCACATGAATACGAGGGTGCTCCAGTTTCACTATGCCCTGAAACAAGAGTCGAGCAGAGCGGTGAGCAGAGGACGATGGCACAGGGGTAGAACAAACGCCCTCAAGGCAGGCTAAGCACGAGCTCTGCAAACAAAGGCACCAAGCTCTGTGAGTCACCCCAGGCAGAGAGCAGCACAACAGAGGGCTTTGTGCCCTCGAGGAACTGGACTGGGAACAGGAGTCCATAAAGCCGCTATGACGACTAGGTACATCTGAGTGGCAGCGCACAATGCGGAAGCGCTCTGCCCTTCGAACGAGCCCTTGGAGAGCCGACTAAGGCGCTGCTGGCTGCCACACATGACGGGTCCGGAGTTCAACAGCACGAGAAAGGAGGGAGCTGCTCTGCCAGGCACTGCCCGTGCACCAGCTGATGCGTGACTGGCAGATATTGGCTCTCTGGGCTTTTCATCCGGCACCTTTCATTCACAGAATTTAAAAGAATGAAAAGAGCTCTCTGAGAGAAAGGAATGAGGGCAGCTGGCACACAAGAAAAGCAGCTTTCTATCCAAGGGGGCCATTACTGAATGCACGCTCCATGCACGCCAGCTACAAGCGCCTTTCCCATGCTCCAGGGCAAGCGTCCTCCTGTTACAGCACCTGGAGGATCCGCTTGCGGAAAGGGAGCCCGAGTGGGGCTCTGTGCTCAGCAGCCGGCCCAGGGCAATTCCCATCAGGCTCCGGAGAAGGCAGGGGACGGTGTTTGAGAAGTGAGCAGGGACCGCTCGCCGTGGTGCTCCGGGAGCACCCTCGGAGCTCAGTGGCTCAGATGGAGCGGGCAAGGCCTCAGACTACACCCTAGGCAACAAGAGCAGAGCCTGTTTGAAGGGCTGCAGACAGATACATGCAGGGAAAGACTTTTTGCAGCGCTGCAGACAGCGCTTGCTCTAGGAAACTGTCCTGCTAAACAACCAAAACCTGAAGGAGTCGCACCATATCCCGACTTGCAACACGCCAAGGAGGGGACCCCGCAGTGGGCCGCAGCCACGTGGCACTAGCTCCTACATGCTGCTGCCGCCTCGTGGGTGCCACTGCCTTACTTACGTCTCAGGACCGCACATACATGAAGCCGCAAAGGTTTTCTGCAGACACCCTCTGCCCCAGCACAGTTCCTAGAACTGTCTTGCAACTTCCACTCTGGCAAAGCCCAAAGGAAGCTGAAACGTGCGTCTGCTTGGCAGGACCGAGATTAAAGCCGCCCAAAAAGCCTAGGCTGGTGCAAAACCACGTTGTGCCAGTAAGCACTCTCTCCAGCTCAGCCGAGCTTCCTAACCAGGCGAGTTTTAACCCACATCAGAGGTACCAGGAGACCATTCCACAACCCAAATCAGTCTCCCTGGGTGAAAGCCAGCTCAGGAAGCAGTGCCGAATGGTTCCTCTCCATGACTGCCTCTGTCTGGCACTCAGAAGAATCTCACTGGGGGGTTGCTTAGCCCTCTGAGAGCACCAGCTGGGCAGCAGCTGGACAAAGAGGCCACGCTAGAGCCACGTGTTTCTCCTTACTGAGGAAGGACGCCTGCAAGGGGATCTCTGGAGCCCTCGTCTGATCCCTTCTCCATTTATGCCTCCAAAAGCTTGCCCCACGGTCAAACTATCCTTCTTCTGCAATGAGATCCTCAGTCAGTGCCTCCACCCCTGCCTGCCTGCTACACTCT